AGTGAAAGAGAACGGGGGCTGTGTGCATAGAATTTCGGGTTCTGTTGGAGATACTTTATATTCAGCGACTGTGTCTTCAAATGGTTATGTTGCTACTGGTGGTGCTGACCGTACTGTGACTATATATGATCCGCGTAGGTTAGTTAGTTAGCTGTCTTTTGTGTATTACAAATAGTCGATAATAATTATTTCCACTTTAAAAGTGCATATATTTGTTCCCAAACACAAATCTGGAGGGGTGATTCTATTGAAAAGATATTATTATTTCTTTTCTTACGTTTATGCGAGTAACAAGGCTTAAACCTCAAGGTTAAATTTCACGATTGTATGTTTTTGCAGGATTTTTAGCTTTTCAGTCTTGTTTTTCTTTCTTTCTTTCTTTCTTTACCATCTAATTGTTTTAGGACTTAGTTTTGGTTGACTTTCTTTAATGATCTGATGGGAAACTTGTTTTTGGAAGTAATTTGGTGCTAACTCACGCTTGGTATTGCAGATGGTGCGCAATATCTCGATGGTTAAACTGCTCGAAATATGAGGTCAGTAATTAGACAAATTTTAGTCCAAGGATAAATGATAAAATGAAGTTGTTATCAGTACAAATTACGAGTTTCTGATGGTCATAATTACAGCACAACAGAGCATTAAATTATGCATACACCAATCGAAAGAAATCCAACTTCATCGCTTTATTTTTGTCGGTTATGTGGATTCTTATCAATTCTTTTTATATTTTCTCTTGTATGGTGTCCATTGTCCTTAACTGTGCTCACAAAAAATTGTGGTTTGATTGAGAGAGTTCTGTTTCCTAATTTCTGACCAGTGATGTTAGTTGGCAAAAGATAATATTTTTTTACTTTAAAAGTTGGGATTAATGTCTTCATTTGTGATTTTCTCTTGAAAATCTTCTTATAATGTGGCTCCAAATTTATTTTGGGTAAAAGAATGTAGATTCGAACTGTATATCTCGCTTTCTCATTATTATTTTATTGTATATTGCAGATAACTGGACTGACTTTTTCATCAGTCGACCCTAATTATATATATGTCCAAGGAGTTGATTATGAGGTAACTTCTTTTAACATTTTAGCACCAATTTTCCTGATGGTTGATCCTTCATTATCACCTTCTTCATTTATTTATTTACTGCGGTTGTGCCTTTTTCTTTGTTTATTTATCCAGCATGTCTATCGGCTCAATATAATAAAATATAGGTCGCTAAGTAGAGTCTAGGGAATCACGTTTAGAGACTATATGAGTCTAGGCATTGATTTTTAAGAACAGTGCCAAAAAAANNAAAAAAAAAAAAAATTATGGAAGGAAAGCAAATGAATGTTAAAGAAATAATGGATTTTTTGAGTTACTACATATGTTAAATGAATGTAAAATCACGATACTCTTGTAGGTTCTTTGTGGACAATGGAAAGAAAGCAAGAAAGCATTTTCATTTAGAGGGGACTCGAACTGGCTTGGGTTCAGCAAGGTTTGATCGTTATCACCCTCATCTTTGTAAAGTGTACATTATTAGAACTTCACAAATGTCTTTCTTTTAAGGAGGGGAAAAAATGGGTTCTCAAATTCGTATCTTTTACTGCAATATACATACAACTTCAATTAAAGATCATACCCAAAGTTCGTTAATTCTCTATCTTCCTCTCTACCTTTGCTATTTTGTATATATGATGAAAGAATTCTTCTCCGGTAATGTTAATTCATTAAAGTAGAAACAAACATGAAGGCATTCTATTTATCAACTTCGATAGATAATCGTCTTTTTTGTGTGTGCCCGTAAATTTACTGCGTTTGTGAGAATGCTGCGCGTTGAGCTCGTTTTAGAAAGATCACACATCTTAGTTTTCCCATTTCCGTTTTGCAGTGTTCGGATAGGGATATTTTGGCGGGATGGTGTGATTCGGGCAGCATTTTTGTTGCTGATGTTTTCTAGGAAGAAAGAAAGGTATAAATTCGAACGAGAATATATTCTCCAATAAACGGCGGTGATATTTTTTGTTTTTCCTGGTCTTTGATTCTTGATGCACACAAAGAGATCTCCCTTTAATGAACAGAAAATTCTTGATCCATGACATATATTCTTCTAATTAAGATTTTAGAATCAGTGGTTGCCTTTTCTTAAATTTCTAATGTTTTTTTAATATGTTTTTAATAATATTTTCATACATTTATTCTTCTGTAATTTTTCCTACAAGAGATAATATTCTTCAATCTTGTTCTCCATGAGGGAGTATAATTCATACATGAGCTGATTCTCTCTAGACAAAATTTTTCAAATTTTCTAATGTCTGTAACTAAAATTCATTTATTTTTATTTATTTTCATGTCTCTTGTATTAAAGATTATTATTTTTTAGTTATCATCACACATTTGTCTGGTAACAAACCTTCTTTCAGTCAAACCAGAAAAGAATAAAATCAAAGCTCCAAATTTTTTTTCTCATGGTGGAAATATTGCTGCTACTGCTTTATCCAACTTTAATTTTCTAAGTCAGAGGCTAATCAATATCTGGAGGAAAATATATGGAAGATGTTACCGTCCCGTTATAGAACCATCCCGTCAGGGTCTGTAACCGTTAGATCGATGGTTACATGATGATCTAACGGTTACAAATCTCGACGGAATGGTACCGTAATGGTTCATGCAAGTCATGTTTGTAGTTTCTGTGGTGTCTGTTATTAGTTAATGACTGGTCAATATTTGACATCAATGTCTAAAAATCAAATATATGTTCGATCAAACTTCACCAGAGCCAATTAAATATATAGCTTTGGACCATAGAAAATGACACACCTTATTAAAAAATGGTATTAATAGGTCTTGGTCCTGGCTAGATTCATGAGTGGGCACAATTTTTTTGCATGTAGCGGTCTGTTTATTAGACGGTCGACTTAATATATTTTTTGTATTATAAAAATATATTTATTTATGAAATATTATGTTTTGTTTATTTTTTTTATTAATAGAACATTTTAATTTAAAAGCATATATATATGTTTAAAAGTATATTTTCATTATATTGATCTATGTTTATTTTATTAATACATATAATTTATTGGATACTTGAGTACACAATCACATGTCTATAGTCTCTTAAACTAAAGGATAAATAAATAAATAAATAAATAAATTTTAAAAAATGCACAATCACGTACATTTAAAATCATTAAATAGGATGAAATGGCATATAACTAAAAAAAAAAAAAAAAAAATCTGGCATAAACTGACAGAATTCAATAGTATATGCCATAATTCTTAATTAGATTTGATATTCATATGCCTATTTATTTTCTATTAATAATAAACTCCTCCTCAGTGTGTATAATTGTGAATTAATGTATAGCACATGATATGTTTTAAAACAATGTGACCATCTATTCATTGTTATGCATATATTGTAGGTTTATTCTTCACTGTTCATATGGTGGACAAATAATGTGTTATACATGAAAATTACATGAAAAAAAAAAATAATGAAAATCATTGTCATTAATTGACAAAGTTCATTTATAGAGAAAATTACATAAAAAAAATAAAAAAAAAAATCAGTCTTTAATTGTAAAAAATGCTCTGCTTTTCAATACAATTTAACAGCATGTTATTACCTTTCTGCATCCACAAGGACTCGAACTCGATACCTTATCTGCAGCATGTTATTACCTTTTTTTAGCAGTAAAGGTAACTTGTTCACAGTTTTATTGTAGATTATTACTGTGCACACATGTGTGTTGAGTAACTTGTATTAAAATAGGGTTAATTATGTGAAATATAAATACTAAATAAATAAAAAAATAAACAGATAGATAAATAAATATCTGTCAAGTTTAAGTCACTTATTTTAGTCAGCTGCTGTCCCAGTCAAGGACACAAGTTCTGGGCCAGACCTGATAATATTTTTTTTTTTTTTATATATATAAAGAATAACCCTAAAACTACTCCAAAACTTGGTCTAATTGCAAAATAATTCTAGTATTCATTTGAAATTGTGAATTGGGTCATCTTGATCATGTACCACATCAGTCAACTAAAACTGTCTTCCATCAATATTTTGCTAAATTATATATAGATTTTTTAAATTAAATATGCTCTAATATTAATCATGTGCATTTACATGGATGTATATAAAGTATTATAAATTATTTTTATGCATATAATATTAAAATTGTAAGTTAGATAAAGGTATTATGTTTCAAAATCCGATCATTGATTAAAATAAATTGTAAATAATGATTTGATTGCATATGAATCACTATATTGATTGCATAAAATATAATAAATAGATTAATTTTTGTAATTTTGGGTGATATGTATGTATTATTGATTATGATATCAATTCCTGAAAAATGAGCTCAATAAATACTATTAATTGGAAATGGGAGATGCATGTATACCACATGTGTGGACCTCATTCCACCCATTTTTAATATCTAAACCTATTTTATGGGACCTCATAACTTATATGTCCAATTTTGGTGCATGTTTCTACTATCACAAATGCCAATATTGGATGGCTTAAATTGTTACTCAGACATATTTTATGCAAAAATCATACTTATATTATGAAATGTTACAGTTTTTTTTTATTTTTGTTACATTTGCACCGTAAAATGTGACATTTAAGTATGAAAATTTGTATATATATATATTGAAAAAATAAGACCATCTACTCATTAGACAAACTAGTAGAACAACCTTGAATTAAGGTTGTTTGGCTAATTTTTTCTTCAACTTTTGACATCAAGTCAAAAAAAAAAAAAAATAAATAAATAAAAAAATCAAAAATAACTTGAGTGTATTTTTTTATTTTTATTTTGGGTATATGTAAATTAGAAGGTTGTTTGGCTATTTTTTTTCTTCAACTTTTGACATCTAAGTAAAAAAAAA